AAAGACTGCTTCTCTCAAAGAGTATTTCTTTACACTGTTTTCTGCTGGCGCTTGAACACACTTTCCTTATTTTTTTCCCACAACAAATGGCCAAGCATACGCAGACACTTACAAGATACGCAAATATCTATATACACTGAATATGCAAACAAGCCAAGTCATAAAGTCAACTTCATTTTTAAAGCACTCTATACAATATAGATTGTTTCACAGCAGCTTCATAATAGTATCAAATTCAAATTCTGCTGTAAAGCAGCTCTAACAAGTCAATAGTGTCATTATACAGCTCAGGTCGGGTCAATATTGATTCAGTTCAGTTGTATAACTGTGTAAAATACATCAGTTGTACATACATACTGTATACAGTGTTTATGTGCATATGCATGTATGTGCGAGTGCTTTGACAAACTCCACTGCACTCTGAACAAGCAAAAGACACACAAGAGTAGTGTTTTTCATTTTTCACATCTGTGTGTAGTTTGGTGTGTTATATATGTATGTATGTATGTATGTATGTATGTATATATATATATATATATATCTCGAACATGGAACATGCATACAAGCCAAGTCAGAAAGTCAACTTTATTTCTAAAGTGCTTTATACAATATAGATTGTTTCACAGCAGCTTCCCAATAGTATCAATTTCAAATTCTGCTGTAAAGCAGCAATAGTGTCATTACACAGTCAGTTCAGTATTGATTCAGTTCAGTTGCATAACTGTGAAAAATTCATCAGTTGTACGTACATACATACAGTATATACAGTGTGTATATGTGCATATGCATGTATGTGCGAGTGCTATGACAAACTCCTGTGCACTCCACTGCACTCTGAACAAGCAAAAGACACACGAGAGTAGTGTTTTACATTTTTCACATCGGTGTGTAGTTTGGCTTGTATGTGGCTAATTATTTTATGTTTGTGTGTACAGTTACTATGCAAAAATTAAATTTTTAGAGGAGTTAAAATAGCTCTGAATGAAGTGTTTGCTTTTGCAAGATATGTGTGATGTTTTGCATGTTGTGTGTGTGTTTTGTGATTTTGTGTGTAGAGTTTTGAGAAATGGAGCCATGTGCAAGTATTTTTTAAAGGGGTCAAATGATGCGATTTAAATTTTTCCTTCTTTTATTCTCACTGTAGTATTGTTGTTGCCGCCGCCACCATGTCATGAAGACGTGAAGAGGAAATACATCAACTTCGCACTGTGGACGAAGCGGAGTCCAGCCCGGGGTCGTCACATGTGGTTGCCGCAAGCCCGCCGGATGCTCCTTCG